GGGACAAACACAGCCTCTGAACTAAATCTACCAGGACCCAGTTCAAAGATTCCTTTAACATTTCCTCCAACTTCCAGCTTTGCTTTTTCTACCTCTGGTTCAGCACGCAGATCAAATTTGATGATCCCTGTGATCTTACTAAAATTGTCTGGAATAGCTCCGTAAACATATCTCTGTTTCCTAAGTTTAGACAATGTAATCAGTGTCCTTCAGTACATCACGTTTAGTTGACTAGGCAGATTTTTTTTTTATCCAGTGGCTGTGTCATTTTTGGATGAGCAGTTAAGGGATGTTTTAATCTTTTATCATAATCCAGCATGCCAAGTGTTTGTAGATCTCCATCTTCAAAACTTTCAGGACATCTACAAAGTATAGAGATAAAGTTCTCCATCTCCGATAGTGCTAGAAGTGAAAACAAAAGAAAGAAAGTAATTTGCTTACAGGTTTGTCCAGCTCCGATAGAGCTAGAAGTTTTCCATGGATATATAAGAGCTGTATTACCTGGAAGAAGGTGACAGACATAAGCTATACTGTTTACATGATTATACATAAGCTTAATATAGGAATAACTGTTTGTAGAATTGTAACTGATACAATCTAGCACAGGTGTTTACTCATTCAGCAGAATAGGACTCGATTACAACGTACCTGTCCAAATCCAATGACAAGTCCAATACATTTAACTTCTCTCTCAGCAAGTTAATGAAAACTTGAATAATCCAAACAGCCCCTTAAGGTCTCCAAACTGCAAAAACCCAGAAACAGAACAATTTTAATCATAACTCCGAAGGAAGAATCTGCACCCAGGATTCTTCCACATCAAAATGTTTCTGTTTGAATGGCGTTATTACGAAAAACCTCGAAGGTTTGGAAAATTAATGAAAACGCCCACTGGTATGGAAAATTCTACCCCAACCGCATTTCCGTTAAGAATTTTTTTTTTTTCAAATTTAACAAAAATGAGAATGACTTTCACCCTTCAAACAGTTAAAAACTTGGCCCTTTTTGGTACACAATTTTTCCCTACCCTATTCCCTATCTTATCCAAAATACACATTTATTTCCTTATTCTCAAAATATTATTTTATTTATTAAATTCTTTTAAACCCTTAGGTTTGTTAATTTAACAAAACACCCCCAATTTTTTTTTTTTTAAATTGGCAAAAACACCCCACCAACCCACATTTGCCAGATTTTGCCACCTCCATCGGAAGCTACCTGAATCTAGTATAATGACGCACTACTGGCTGGATCTGGTCGGTAGTGCGTCGATCTAGCATTTTCCGCCCAGATCTACTATGTTTCTAGCCGAAAAGAGCAAAAAAACGGCTAGATCTTTGGTCGTAGCTAGTCGTCAACGACTCAATATCTATGGCCATCGTTGATGACCAAATGCAACCAGATCTAGCCGTCAATGGCTAGATCTAGCAGTAAATCTGGCCTTTTCTAGCTAGATCCACTGTGGATCTGTCCGAAAAATGTCATACCGGCGCACAACAACCAGATCCAGTCGATCATGCGCTGATACGATAACTCCAGCCACCCTCTAACAGTGGTAGCCGACTGTCGGTATTTAATGGGTGGGTGGATGTGTTATTGTTAATTTTCAATATTTTATTAGGATGTTTAGTAATAAACAAATATAGGGAGTATTTGTTAATTTTTAAATCTTATGTCCTAATAACTACCCAATTTTACTTTTTTTTCAAAATATATTCTAAAAAAGTATTAGAATATGAACCATGCGCACCCTTAAATATTACCTCAATTTCAAACCAAAAACTTAGTGAATGTTTTTGTAATCAGGTAACTTTAAAAACTAACAAATAAAACCCTAAATCTGAACCGAAAATTTTGACAAAATGCGGCCAACAGCCCCCGCTCGAGGCCGAAATGGCTTACAGCACTGCTTCATACCAGGAACGGCCTCGAGGCAGCCGCAAAGAGGCCGTTTCAGCCTTGGGCAGCCGTAGGGAGGCCTTAGCGGGTCTCCTCGCAGCCTTATATTCAAATCTACTTTCTTCCTGTTTTATAAAACAATCTTCCCGCAGCAGAAGCTCTGTAGATTTAAATTAAGCACCAATACCTTTGTAAATTTAGCTCCCCCAAAAAACTCTTCCTGTTTCAGACTTGATGTCTCCACAAAACGGGAAACATACGTTCCCTTCCTTCCTTGATGCGCACACCATGAACCATGCTGCCCATTCCAAAATTATATATCTAATACAGTACGGAAACTTTAGCAGTACACACAGAGTTATTTCAGTTCAAAATTGATGAAACTATTATCGTATTGTATAATTAAATCAGACATCCACGCACCCGTCTCCATCGAACCTGCGGATGTGCAACAAAAGGGAATTAGCTAACACATGATTTGATTAAGTCACCATAGATGAACACTGAACTAACGTTTCTCTCCGCCCAGAATCGTTGTAAACTTGCACAGGAGAAGACATACCAGTGATATCCGGCCACTGGAGCAAACTTTGAGTTAGGACCGACTCTAAAAACTCTCCATTCAACTCCTGAAATACATAATTATATGAAGCTTTTTATTAAGCAAACTCAGTGATTATATTTTAGAGTAAGTACTATGGTTGAAGCAAGATTATAATTGACTTTGGACTTACAGGGAGATGGCCACTGACGTGAGTTGAGGTGGAGGAGTTTCGTACGGAACCGGAGCAAAATTACCGGAGAGATAGTGAAGAGCAAAGACGTATTATTATACATGACTTAACGATCACACTTTCCAAAATATCAATGGCTTAGAGCCAGACCTTTGTGTGGCTTAGGATTCACCAACACTACGCCATCATCTCCTGCTCCGCCGCTGTACTTCAGCTCCTCCTTCTCCTTCTCCTCCTCCGCCTCCGCAAAATGATGACCGTATTCATTGTAAAAATATCAAGTAGAAATGGATGAAGGGTGATGATTTTTTGTGAGCTTCATGATGTCCTCTATCTCTCAGGACTCCTAAAAAAATATTCTATTGATAATTCTTTGAAAAACTTAAAACATTTCTATTACCCTTGATTTTATATTCCAAATTTTATACGTGATTGATATAATCACACTTAAAATGAGTAATTAAAAACATCAAGTCATCAATTAGAAATGTATTTAATCTACAATAACGTGGGTTTCAATACACCGTGTTACACATTGTAATAATAATATTTACATAAAAAAATCGTTATCTTAACTTTGCTATTAAATAATAATGGATAAAATTTTCAAACGTACCAAATAGGATGAGTGATTAGTGGTTTGTTTAAACATAATTATTTAAAAAAAAAGAATATTACAAATATGAAAAAGTGAAAATCATTATAAATTTAAAAGTTAAATATCAAATCAATTTTACATAAAGTTTTATACCATTGGACTCCATCCAGCAAATGTAACATAAGAACAAAACTGAAGCCCAGTAGACTCTGTTGCAAAATATATGGAGATGCCGTCACATTGGGTGAGCGATACCGTGGGGCTCAAGCCTAAAAACTTGTTCGAGGAGAGGAGAGGGAGCTCAACCATATATATATACACCACCACCTTAATGAACATGTTTTTAGTCTAGGCAAACATGAAAAAATTGAAAATAAACTAACTAGTCTGGATCAAAATCTCTTTCTAAAAAGCAGATCAAGTACTACAAGAGAAAGAGCATCACTTTTGTTTTGATGTAAACATGTTATAAATGCTGCATTGCATTCTATCTCTCTATGTAATCAGTTTATCTCCTTTGAAAGATCCAGCTTCTCATTGTACAGCTTCATTAGCCTGGAGCTCCATCATAACATTCACAAACTTCTCAAGAAGGGCTTTTCACATAGCTTAAACGGTGTAGCCGAGAGACGTTTATTCTTAAGCAAACCATGGGTTGACAGATACTGAGAACTGAAGCACGGGATAATTCTCTTCTCCATGCTCATGAAAAAAGATCTGGCCGCTCAGCAATGGCAGAAGTCTCCCAACCCATTTTGTTCAAAAAAGTCCATCATTGCCATAATCTTATTCTCAATGTTATCATACACCAAGGGTTTTCCGATATGCTGTTAGAATCCTCTTCAGACCAACCCCACCTCTTGTAAACATCAAACTTCTTATCCCACCAGATTTTCGCGTAAACGACATTTATAAATAGCTATAACAAACTGTGACATGAAGGAGTGATACCTTTTCTTTACAAATCCACAGCCTCTTTCAAACGAGGTAGCTTACAAAACCTTAGCCAGTTATAAGAAACATAAGAACTTTTGGTTCAGCACACCATTATCTAGCAAATAATTGATTTTGGAGGAAGACCATTTTGAAGATCACATAATAATAGGTGGAAAACGTTTACAACCGTAATAGTCTTTTCAGTAGATTGAACCAAGTTACTAGGTAAGTAAAGGAAGGGATTTACGGTTCTTTAAGCTACTTTCCAGATCACCGATGACATGGAGGTTAGTGATGGGAGGAGTTTCGAAAGGAACCGGAGCGAAATTACCGGACAGATAGTGAAGAGGCAATGAGGAATTGTACGTGAACTTGACAATCACACTTTCCACAAAATCAATGGCTTTAGAAGCCAGCCCATTGTGTGGCATAGGATTCACCAACACTATCCCATCTCCTGCTCCGCTGCTATCCTTGACTTCCTCCTTCTCCGCTTGTACGTCTCCAACTCGATTGCTGTAACTGCTGGTGAAAAGTGGACGTAACGGTTGTTGATGATTCCCAGAGTGAGAGTGGCTTGTTGGACATTTGATTCTGATTCCCGCGAAATGATGATGAGCCGTTATCATTGTAAGCTTATTGAATATTATATATAGAGGTTTTGGCTACTATTTTTAACGATCTCGGGAGTTTTGAAGAAGTGGATAAAGCTGGGGTTTTGTATGGTTGATATATAGAGCCGTTATCATCTGTATCGTTGACTGATATTCCATCGTTAACGTATTAGTCATTAGTGATAAATGTCGTCAAAACAGAAGAAACGTTATCCGAATAAGATGGTCTCAGTTAAAGCACACTCGGAAACTTTGAGCTTGATTGCTCTCAGTCAATCATCGTTACAGTTTACTACTGATAATTGATATTCTCACTTAAAGATGTATAAACTTAAAAAGAAACAAATATTTAGACATTAATAAGAAATTGGCTTTTTAGATCTTTGTTCGATGATCCAAAAATCTCAGCATTCGTGTCATTGGTGATTGTTCCATCACAGTTTGGCAAGCTCTTGAAGTTGTTCCTGTTAAACAGTCCACAAAGTCACAACCATTGATATCTTGTTGTCATCATAAGCTTTAGAGTCTAAAATATGGATTCACACTTCTGCCTTTAAAATATTGACGTGGGAAGCTTGATTATGTTTTAATCAATGCTCTTATGGAAGTGGAACTCATTAAAACAAAATTAAATATGGAAGCAATTTAAGTTCTACTAACCTCTGTCACAAAGATGCCATGAAACCCATATGGAACTCTGTGAGGTAATTCCACAATTGCTACAGGATCTGCTGACATTGTTTTTGCATCAATTACATACACTGCTGATTTTCTGCACCATTAGAAATGAATAATTATAAGTGAACAGTTATCAGCATATTCAATTCAGTAATAAGAAGACTGTAACTAGCTAGAGAAAGGGAAAGTTATACCCTGTATTCTCATCATGTACAAAGAAAATTAAGTAGCCATCATCTTCTTCAGAACTGATGCCCAGCTCTCGAGGGACAAACACAGCCTCTGAACCAAATCTACCAGGACCCAGATCAAAGATTCCTTTAACATTTCCTCCAACTTCCAGCTTTGCTTTTTCTGCCTCTGGTTCAGCACGCAGATCAAATTTGATGATCCCTGTGATCTTTATAATATTGTCTAGAATGGCTCCGTAAGCATATCTCTGTTTCCTAAGTTTAGACAATGCAATCAGTGAGTTACATTTCAGGTGCAAATATGAGATTCCAGTAAACTGGTTCTTTCAAATTGCCAATGCCAATATAGAATACGTACCTGCCACAGTATCTCTCGTTTATCCTAGGTAAATCAACGGAAGGTGCTGAGAGTTTCTTTTGTGAAGCTGCACCAGTCTTCATATTGAATCTCATTTCATACCTGATTCATTTTAATAAGATCAATCAGAAACACCTTGTCATCTTAGTGAACTTCAGAAAAATATATATTAATCATGGATCACCTACAGCTCAATTGTGACTTTTTCATTCTTTTCTTTGACAGGCCCGTTGAGCATGTCTAAATCAGGATTCTCAATGCGGCAAGTGATCAAAACAACTTCATCCTCCTCCTCCCAAGCATTAGCTAGAAAAATAATTAATATTGAAAATAAGAAAGAGTATTTCATATATGTTAATTAGAAAAGAAATGAAATATAATTATTCAATAAATGTTGTTGCAAACTTTTTATTCCAGTTGACGAGCCGATAATGAGAGAATTAGTAAGAACAGTGCAGACTTTTAAATTTAAGAGAGCATGTTGACAGACCATTATGAATTATGAAGCAGTTTGGAAGCTCAAACCATCTGATTTGACTCTCATCCTTTGCATACCGTGGAAGTACACCAAAACGAGCTTTAATCGTTGGATCAAATGTTAGTATCAGCTTGTTTTCTTTCACCATTTCCTATAAATTTATATGGGATAAAACACTTTCATGTTCTCCTTTTGAATTCATGAAAATTTTGAAATCTACAAGAAGCAACAAGTTACCATACCTTTGGTCTGAAACGCATAGGCAGATCCATGAAAATTGCATAATTCTCAGTGATAGCAAAGTCATGCATCATGACATATTCTGATATAGTTATAGGTACTGGGTCATGCATGAAACCATCCTTGGAAATAACTCTGTAGGTGACATACGGTGGAGTTTGCGAGCAACCAAAAGTAAACATTTCACCTGCATTCAGATTTTTTGTAAATAAATTCCTTCATTACATTCAGTTCTAGCTGAATAGGCTTATTAATTTCAAGAGTATATTTTACCAGTGTATGGGTCAATTTTTGGATGAGCAGTGAGGGGATGTTTTAATCTTTTATCATAATCCAGCATGCCAAGTGTTTGTAGATCTCCATCTTCAAAAACTTTAAGGACATCTACAAAATGTAATAGAGATAAACTTTTCCATCTCCGATACTGCTAGAAGTGAAAACAAAAGAAAGAAAGTAATTTGCTTACAAGGTTTGTCCAGCTCCGATAGAGCTAGAAGTTTTCCATGGTGATATATAAGAGCTGTATTACCTGGAAGAGGGTGACAGACATAAGCTTATACTGTTATACATGGATTATGCATAAGCTTAATATGAGGAATAACTTTTGTATAATTGTAACTGATACAATTTAACACAGGTGTTTAATCATTCAGCAGAATAGGACTCGATTACAACCTACCTGCTCCAAATCCATATGACAAGTCCAATACATTCAACTTCTCTCTCAGCAAGTGAATGAAAACTACAAATAATCCAAACACCCCCTTAAGGTCTCCAATCTGCAAAAATACCCAGAAACAGAACAATTTTAATCAACTCCAAAGGACGGATCTGCACCCAGAATTCTTCCACGTCAAAAATGTTCTTGTTTGAATTAGGGATGGGCACAGGCTGGAGATCCCTGTCTCCGGCCTCGGCCTAAAAGCCCAAGGGGATTCCTCGATCCCGGCCAGTAGCCCATTCGAAAAATTCGGGGAATCTCTGAATAAAGCCTGTTCCCCAAACAGGGTTTGGGGGTTTTGTGTCTTTTTATGTCTTTATTACCATTTTCTCTAAATTATAATATATGATCCAAAAAGAAATTAAATCTATAATGTACTTATTCAACATAAAGACCATACCATCCAAAAAGAAATTAAATCTATAATATACATATTAAACGTAAAGATTAAAGACCATCATACTAAATTGATAATATATTACAATAGAATTGAAATAATTATTAATAAGGGACAAAAAAAAAAAAAAAAATTATAATGATTTATTGATTTATTATAGTCAATCAAAACATCAAATAATATATTACACATATATAACATATATATATATTATGTATTAACATATGATTATAGATAATAGCATATTATGTATAATGTATAACATATATATGTTATATACATTATACTTATATACCATATATAATGTATAATGTATAATAAACAGTGTATAATATATAATGTCAAATGTATACCATATATAATGTATAATACATACATACATACATACATGAATGAATATATATTACAAATATTTATAATGATTTATTATATTTAATCTAGTTTTATTTATTACCTATTTGTATATGGCTTCATAAAATACTTACACAATTATTATTTGTTATTGTATAATATATGATTGATTTTCAAATATTAAAATTAATATAGGTATATATGATTGATTTTTAATTATTAAAATTAATATAGGCCCAAATCCCAAATGATTCGGGGAAACTCCGCCCCGTTCGGGGTGGGTCCTCGCGAGGCCGGGTTTTATGCCTATCCCTAGTTTAAATCATGGTTATTAGTATTCTACGATATGCGATACGTATCCTACGATACGATTCGATACGGGTAGCCAATGATATGTATCAGAGAGTGTATCCTAAATATTTAGATATATTGATATGTATCCTACGATATAATATGTATCGGTTCATATCCTTAAAAGTATCGATACAAATTGATACGACTTTGAGCCGAAGGCTCAAAAAAAATTTCGGGTCGGATCTAGGTCACCCAACTCGGTTCACTAAAACTTGCCTAAATTTACCCTTTTTGCATAGAAAAAGTGAAGAGAAAGATGTGTTGCCCATTTTGCATGATAATAATAACACAAGTGGAGATATAGATATTGACATTGATCTTGAAAATGATATGAATGGTTGAGAGGAAATGATATAGATTCTTAATTTTGTGATAATTTTGATTATGTAATACTATAATTTAAAGCTAGTAATATCATAAAATTCGTTAACTAATCTTGGGATGGTATTAATTTTTAGAAAATTTTTATTATTTTATTTATTATTTTTTTGAAAAAGGTGTATCCTACGATACGATACACGATTTGAAAAATTAGGTTTTCGATACACGATACGATATATGATTTAACAACCATGGTTTGAATGGCGTTGTTACAGAAAAGCTCGACAGGTTTGGAAAATTATGAAAACACCCATTGGTATGGAAATTTCTACCCTAACCCCATTTCCATTAAGATTTTTTTAGAAATTTAACAGAAATGTTGAATGACATTTCTACCCTTCAAAAAGTTTAAAACTTGAATATTACCTTATTTTCAAACCAAAAACTTAGAAAAGTTTTCTATAAACATGTAAACTTTAAAAACTAACAAATAAAACCCTAAAATCTAAACTGAAAACTTTTACGCAATGCGGCAAGCAGCCCCCGCTCGAGGCCAGAATGGTCTATCGGTAACTGCTTCGTACCGGGAACAACCTCGAGGAAGCCACAAAGAGGCCGTTTCAGCCTCGGGCAACCGTGGGGAGGCCTTAGCGAGTCTCATTTTCGGCCTCGAGCAGCCGTTTGGCCAAACCTTGGGTGGGAAATTGCCGTTCTCCCTTAAAAACAACGTTTATATGCTAATTTATTTTCTTCCTCTTTCATAAACACAATCATTCCCATAGCAGAAGCTCAGTTAATTTAAATTAAGCAACCAATACCTTTCCAAATTTAGCTCCCCCAAAGAACTCTTCCTGTTTAAGACGTGATGTCTTTACAAAACGGGAAACATACGTTGCCCTTCCGTCCTTGATGCGCACTCCATGAACCATGCTGCACATTCACAAAATTATATATCTAATAAAGAAAACTTTAGCAGTAACATAGTCATTTCAGTTCAAACTTGATGAAACTTTTATCGTATTGTAATAATTAAATCACGCACCCGTCTCCATCAAACCTGCGGATGTGAGCAACAAAAGGGAATAAGCAAAACACATGATTAGATTAATTAACTTTAGATGAACTCTGAACTAACGTTTCTCCGCACAGAATCATTGTAAACTTGCACAGAGAGAAGACATACCAGTGATATCCAGCCACTGGAGCAAACTTTGGGTTGGGACCGACTCTAACAAACTCTCCATTCAAGCACTCCTGAAATAAAACTTTTTATTGAGCAAACTTAGTTTACAGATATTGGCATATTGTTTATTTACTTAATTACTGTTAACTTTGTTAATCAGGTTAGTTGGTTGTTGATTTACAGCTCCACAACTATGGTAAGAACAAACCATGGTTACTGTGTATCATGGTTAGTTACTGTTGAAGCAAGATTATAAATGACTTTGGACTTACAGGGAGATGGCCGATGACGTAAAGGTTTGCGGTGGGAGGAGTTTCGTACGGAACCGGAGCAAAATTACCGGAGAGATAGTAAAGAGGCAACGAGGAATTATTATACATGAACTTAACGATCACGGTTTCCAAAAAATCAATGGCTTTAGAAGCCAGACCTTTGTGTGGCTTAGGATTCACTCCGCCACTGTACTTCAGCTCCTCCTTCTGCGCCTTCGCTTGTAGTTGTACGGCTCTGTCTAGAGTGCCGTAAGTGGTGGTGAAAACTGGGCTTAACAGACGTTGATTCTTGGAGCGGCTTCCTGCAAAATGATGAGTCGTAGTCATTGTAAACTTATCAAGTACAAATGGATGAAGCATTATGAACTTCAATGATGTGCTCTCTCAGGAGCTCTGTAAGTGTAACTCTTGAAGCTCAAAATTTATATTAATAATCCAAATCCATGATTAGTTATGCCACATTTTATATTAATTAAAGGTTAATCACTATTAGACTTTACGTGATTAGTGATTTTCTCACTTTAGAACAAGTAAATTTTAAACATCAATTAGAGATGTAATTAATCTATCAACAAATAAATCGGGTTTTTAATACACTGTGTTACACGAGTAATGTTATGCTTACTCACGATCTTATTAACCATCTTATTATCCTTTGTTAAAATTACATATGGTACCCGTACTATGCGTATGGTATCCGTACCATACTTTATATTTATACAAGATGGTAAGATGGTTAATAAGATCATGAGTAAGTATAGTATTATTGGTGTTACACATCGTAATAACAATAATATTATATATAAAAAGATTGTTTTCCCATCAATGGACCAGCCACAAGCCAAGTGGTTTATGTAGCTTATTTTTTATAATAATAACGGATGAAAACTTTTTAAACGGAACCAAATATCAAATAAATTACATGATAATCATACATTAGTATTATATCACTTTATATATATATAAAGAAAAATGCTACAGACACCAAATACTGGTACTGAAATTTTGCACCGATCTATGTGGCATTTGACTCAAACGTGTCACGCGGGACACAACACAAGTATTCAGTAAATGAACAGCCGTCCAACAATTATGGACGTCCATCCATATCTTATGGACGATCGTTCATCACGAATGGACGAGAGTCCTGAAAATATCAATGGACTACCGTCCATATATTATGGATGGGAATCCCTTTACTATGGACGGTCGTCCATATATTATAGACGGGAGTCTATATAATTTTAGATGAAATATTCATTCCTAAAGCATAAAATTTTTAGATAAAATAAAAGAAAAAAAAACTTTGATTTTAAGTATGGATGCTAGTCCATCAAATTACAATGGACGGCCATCCAAATTCCAGTCTCAAATATTTTTTTTTTTAATTTATAATTTATAAACAAAATGCAAAGCAAGAGAGAAATGAAATCTGTTTTGGGAGGCCTAAATTTTTAAACATTCTAATTGAAAATTTTATAGAAGATTTTTTATTAAACTAAAATTTGGGCATGGACGGCTGTTCATCTTACACAGACAACCGTCTATTGTATATAGACGCCCGTCCATATAAGATGGATGACGAGCATCCATTTACAATGAACAGGCATCCATATATGGAGATGCCATCAGTATGAATGTAGACAAAGCAACAAAGAGATTAAGAAAATTCCAGCAGCTAGCTAAAGGGAGGAGGAATCTACCCACATTCAATGACAAACATGAAAGAATATATCAATTAATATATAATTAATCATCAATTAATATATAGTTAATCTATTATCAATTAATATATAATGTCATTGACATTGAACTCTTTGTCATTATCAATTACTATATAGTTAATCATCAATTAATATATAGTTAATCCATTATCAATTAATATATAATGCCATTGACATTGAACTCTTTGTCATTATCAATTAATATATAGTTAATCCGTTATCTTTAATATATAAAGCTATTGACATTGAATGTAGGCAAACCAACAAAGGGATTAAGAAAATTCCAATAGCTAAAGGGAGGAGGAATCTAACCACATTCAATGGCAAACATGAAAGAATATATCAATTAATATATAGTTAATCCATTATCAATTAATATATAATGCCATTGACATTGAACTCTTTGTCATTATCAATTAATATATAATTAATCATCAATTAAAAAACTCTTTGGCGTTTCCTCGAAATCATGCTTCATTATCATAGTTCAATAAATAGAAACATATATGTAGGCATGCTGATATAAATGTTAGTTTAGATTAATTTTATTCTGGTTATGGTATCCTTGATGTTTGTTTCTTTATTTTATTGTATTATCCTTTGATTGTATGTGAGAGATTTTACTACTGAAAATTATGAAGAATATAATTAATGCGACACATGCATACCTTTCATTAAGTCAATGATAATGTAGAATATTCAATCTATCAACCAAGTTATAATATTCAATGAGTTATAATACCATCGACCTTATTTTTCTAAAATTATGATAAATTATTTAACTTAACCTCTTAAAGTTAATTCCTGATCTGTCCCTGTATTGGAAATTCCAAGATGTATAATACGAGTCGTAAAGCCTTCCTTGAATATGATTGCTTTTCTTGTCTTGTCTTCTTCATGATAGGTTGAAATTAATGCATGGATTTCACCAGTCTATAAATATAAATTTGACATCTAGTATTAATATGAGAATAATACACCTGTTTGCCAGTAATCTAGAGCTTTAATAATATAGTTCATGGCGTAACTGAAACATTTCTTCTTCTTCTTCTTCTTCTTTGTATTGCTTAAGAAAAAAGTGAAAATTAAATATCAAATTAATTTTAACATAAAGTCTATATCGATTGGACTCCACTCCAGCAAATGTAACACAAGAACAAAACTAGACCCCAGTAAGATTCATGTTGGGCCCAATATAGATTTTATAGAAGTATCACCTTTAGTTATACATTTTTTAACACATTTTCTTGCAAAATATATGGAGATGCCGTCAGTATGAATGTAGACAAAACAACAAAGGGATTAAGAAAATTCCAACAGCTAGCTAAAGGGAGGAGGAATCTAACCACATTCAATGGCAAACATGAAAGAAATTGAAAATAAACAATAAGTAGTCTGGTTCAAAATCTCTTTCTAAAAGGCAGATCAAGTAATACAGAGAAAGAGCATCACTTTTGATTTTGATGTAAACATGTTATAAATATGCTGCATTGCATTCTATCTCTCTAATGTAATCAGTTTATCTCCTTTGAAAGATCCAGCTTCTCATTGTACAGCTTCATTAGCCTGGGAGCTTCATCATAACAATTCACAAACTTCTGCAAGAAGGTCTTTTCACATAGCTTAAACGGTGTAGCCGAGAGACGTTTATTCTTAAGCAAACCATTGGTTGACAGATACTGAAGAACTGAAGCACGAGGAATAATTCTCTTCTCCATGCTCAATTGAAAAAGACCTGGCCGCTTAGCAATGGCAGAAGCCTCCCAACCCATTTTGTTCACAAAAAAGTCCATCATTGCCATAATCTTATTCTCAGATGTCATCATACACCAAGGGTTTTTCCGATATGCTGTTAGAATCTCTTCTTCAGACAAACCCCACCTCTTGTAAACATCAAACTTCTTATCCCACTCAGATTTTCGCGTAAACGACATTATACAAATAGCTATAACAAACTGTGACATTGAAGGAGTGATACCCATTTTCTTTACAAAGTCCACAGCCTCTTTCAAACGAGGGTAGCTTACAAAAGCCTTAGGCCAGTTATAAAGAAACACAAGAACTTTTGGTTCAGGCACACCATTATCTAGCAAATAATTGATTTTAGGAGGAAGACCATTTTGAAGATCACAATAAATAATAGGTGGAAAACGTTTAACAACCGTAATAGTCTTTTCAGTAGATTGAACCAAGTTACTAAGGTAAGTAAAGGAAGGGATTATACGGTTCTTTAAGCTACTTTCCAAGATACGACCGAAACAAAATATTTTTGCAAGATCAAGACTTGAGAAGCCTTTAGAGCGAAAAAACTCAAGTTTTGGCAAAAAGGTTTTCTCAGGATTGTACAAAAGCAGTCGTGGACGGACTCTGATGAGATCTGAAATTTGGGTTTCTGAGAAGCCATTGTTCCTGAACCAGGTGAGCACTAAATCTGGTCTTTTTGAAGTTTCGAATTGCACTTTTTTGGATGCCCTTAAAGCAGATTGTGGAGACAACCCACATGAATTAATGAGGTATGAGACTGTAAAAGATTGTTTTTTTGAGTTGGTTGCTATGTATTTGACAAATACTGGACACACGAAATCTTGAATTTTATTATGGTTCAGCGAAAGTAAGTAAGTATCTCTACCACGATTCCGAAGTAAAGTTCTGCAGAGAAAATTAAACATCGCTATTGCAGAAGTTATAGAATATACTTACCTAAGCTTGGGAGTTGAGACAATTTCTTCATTAATCTCGCATACTTGGAGAGCCGTCGAACAAGCTACAGTGAAACCCTGGTAAGTTGCAGATTTGAAAATTGAAGGCAGGCTAAACATGCTTAATCTATCCCAAAACGACAGCGTCTCGTTAGAAAGAGCTTTGAGTTTTTTAAATACGACTTTCCGTTATGAGGCAATTGGGTTTGGGCTTGGTTTGTTTTATTAGTTTGGATTGGATTTTTGGAATAATATTGGGTAGTTGAATATGAGAGTATCATGGGGTAAAATTTAAAAATTTATAAGAAAATCTCTTAGGTTTGCTAATTTAACTAAACGCCCCAATATATAAAAAATTTGAAAAATGACAAAAACACTCCCACCACCTGCAGTGCTAGATTCCGGCCATCACAGTCAGAATTTGGTCAAAAAATTACGTAACGACACATACCGATCGGATCTGACGGGTATGGCGTCCATATGATCTTTTTCGGCCATATCCACCATAGATCAGGTCGGAAAAGGCAAGATCTATGACCAGATATGGCCGTCGACGATCGCAAGATTTGGTCGTCAACGACGGCCAGTTTCGATCATGGTATAGGTCGTTGTGACAGATTTCGGTTACCATCGATGATAGTTTTCGGAATCTGGCAAGTATGGGTCAGTGGGGTTGTTTTTGTTAATTTTTAAACTTTTTCTAAGGGTATTTAATAAAATTAATAAATTTAAAGGGTCTAAAAATAATTAAAAAAATATAGTAATATTTCTCAAATAATATGCCAAACAATATTTAGGGAATAGGATTGGGAATATGGATAAATATGGCACCAAACGCGCCCAATAGTTATTATTAGCATCACATAAAGGACGGGGGCAAATTTTACAGGAATATGCCAGTATTTTGGACGGACAACTATATTTCATCAATCTATAGTTCCATTCTTTTGATTTAAAATCAGCAAAAGAAATCGATAAATGGTGAAAATAATTGAAAGGTTGCCTGAGACTATTAGACTTACAAATTTCTGGCACCTTTGTTTTACCACAAAATGCATGAATTTGAGTTTATGTAAATTCTGTTGGGGAGGAGATTTAGCTCCACCTCCCATCTTTTCTGCTTCTGGGTGCAGCCTCTTCATCCACTGCACCCTCTTGCTTCCTATCCTCTTTTATATATTTTGCTTCACACTTCACAGTAACGTGTCCATCGGCATGTCAAAGGAAGTTTCTTCTATCTAGACTGCAAAAGAAGTGAGAAAAAGAATGTCAGAAACTAAAAAGAAGGTCAAATAAACAGCATACTTGAGGAAAGGTTGGGTTTGGCAATGCCTTACTTTGGTCTATTAGAATTGTATAACGGAGGGAACTCCTCAAATTTGGGGAGATCTTCATATACAGGTTGAGAGATCAAATTGATTTTCTGCACTTCCATATCGCACACCACGCATTTGTGGTCGAATCTGCCAATTTTTTCAGCTTCTAGTTTACAATTACCACACCACAGCAAGTGTTTACAGGGGAAATTCCCCCACATCATCTTTTGCCGGTTGCAGCGAAAGCATAATCTCTGGCGAAGGTTTGCCTTGTACTTCTGCAAGCCACCCTCAGCATAATATATAAATTCATAGCAATGTTATTATAAATAAAGAAGGAATGCTTTTAAGTCTAGTGCATTGCTCACAGGGTAGAAATCAATTTCACGGAGAAAGAAGACTGATGAGTTCTTTCTTTTTTATAGCCAGCCACTACAAAACCAAATGCCTGTTGTGAAGCATAAGCTTTATTCCTTCGGATGGCTCCATCCATCTCCTTCTGTCATTCCGGTCTCTTGAACCTTCATCACCTCCCTGATACGACGATGTCTGGGAAAAGGAGAACATGCCTGGCTTTGTAAACCAAACAAACCTTTGAGGCACACTAGATCATGTACTTCTCTGGGCTGAATTTCCTCTCTGTGTAGTTGAACTATCTTCAGTAACCTCATGGGATGAATTTCCCTTGATACTGCTAGTGGTGAAGCCAGTAGATGCTGACGGAAGGTCCTGAGGAGACTTGGAATCACATGAATCACTATCATCGCCATCACCAATTTGATTATACTGGGAAGGACGGGTAGTGCTTTTTCAGTTGCTGGAGAACTTCGTTGGGCTTAGGTATGGCTAGGCAGCAGCACCATGTGATTAGGAGATCCATTTTTACTCAAAAGTCCCAGACTTCTGGTGCAAATATCGGGGAAGCTCTCACAAAGTCACTGAGTTTGGAAACATAAAGTTTAGATCCATTGGACTCCAGTCCAGCAACTGTAACACAAGAACAAAAGTTTATTGGAAACACAAAGTTTATATCCATGGACTCCAGTCCAGAAACTGTAACACAAGAACAAAAAGTATAGCCCAAGAAGATTCATGTTGGGCTTAAATGGAATGGAGATGCCGTGATTATCGGGTAATCCATAGACAAAGCAAGAAAGGGATTGAGAAAATATAAAAAACAACATTAATATTCAATAACCTAATAATTAAAACAGAAAAAGTAGGAAATTATTAAAAAAAAAAAAAACCAAATTAAAGGAGCTTGCTTGCAAGTCTTATGAAACTATGATATGAGCAAGGAATGGACACATTTTGCAATTGAATTTTGTTTAAAGAATGGAGATTGCTTTACCAAATTATGAAACTTTATAACTAACCCAACTGAAAAATTTACTCAAATTAGTCAATTTTAGTTCCATTACATTATGTTTATCACAATTAAACACTTAAACATTAATGAGGCATGGGCTCTTTATATTATATATTATATATATATATATATATATATATATATATATTTTTTTTTTTTTTTTTTTTTTTTTTTTAATGACGGGTGTCTAGGTCAGTTTGATGTACCTCAATAATCTTGGACCATAAATACCTTATAAACCCAATGTTTTAAGGTAAGTCACAAATATGTAGTGGTCAGTCAAGGGGCAGATCCAGCTACACCCTCAATTTTATTTTAAAAAAAACTATATATATAATTTCTGGATTCCATAAAAAAATATTAATAGACAAAAATATTAATACGTAATTAGTTTTTTATTTTGATCCACCCTAACAAAAATTTCTAAATCTGCTATTGGCCGAAGGTTCAAACTCAAGAAATCAATAAAGGGAACAAATCTCTTGACCGTTAGGCTAACCTCCCGAAGTATATATTTTTTATAATTCATAAATCCCCTTGGTCGTTATCGCCAATTCGGGTTTAAAATATGAGTCCCTATCAAAATCCTATAACTATCTTTGGTCACGTATGTGCTCATAAGGGGATAACTTAAGAGTCCCCATGAAACTCCAAACTTGATCATTCGATTATTATCCATCTCTTTACATTTTTAAACAAATACATCACGGCAAGGTTGGTGGGTGGGGTGATGCTATATATAATATAATATTATTTTCTTATTTGTTATATTTAAGTTTTAACCCTAAAAGCAAGCACATGAAAATTCTCTGTTACCATAATTAAATTAAAGCTTCTCAAAAATGGCTAAGTCACCTAAAATAGTAATGCTAACTTTCCTAACTTATGATTTCACCGAACACACCCTCCACTTCCATTCTTGTTGACATCATTCAAGTCATTTTGTCTTCGTTCGTTCACATTTGTAGAAAAACCTGATGATGGTCCAAGTTTAATGATGATTTTTTTGTTATAAAAGCACACCAGAGAAAGGCAATTCATACATAATCTCTATGAACATGGATTGTTTCTTCTTTTGTTTCGGCCATGGCAAAATAAAAAACTTGGCTTTGTTTTGACTGTAAGTAACTGATTAACCTAACCAAACTGCCTCTTAACTAAATTCAGCTTATTCTTACATATGACCTGATCAAAACCAAATTCATTAATATTTCTTTCCTGTAGTGGAAGAAGCACTAGTGGAATCAGAGCTTCCATTGGAGAATATTGTTTGGGTTCAAAGGCAGTCAATAAAGGATTTCCCCGTCGCATTCTAATTTCCAGGCCTGCTTTTATTTGACCTGAAGGACGTTTAATTTTGAATGTCAACGACCGTTTTCCAACTACACAAATGGTAGTTTTACCAAAACCCGTAATCAAAGCCATACAAAAGAAAATAATTAATGATGTACCAAAATATACCAAACACGCATTATCATGGAAAAAATTTCCCTCTACCGTCATAATTTGCGTCTCATTTTCCAGGAATTTGAATTCGGAAAATCGAAAGAGCAGCTTCCATTTAGAGTATTCCTTCAATATATATGTATATATATTGATTCGTGTGATATCTACATGAATATGGACTGATGTGTATATATATATAATCTTTCTCTAACATGGACATGTATATATAACTTTAATCGATATATGGAAGGAGCTCTGTGTATAATGGTATTGAATACAACAGTAACGATACACGAGATTAAGCCATTGCATAAGCATGCATGCGAGTCGGTAAACAAGCATCATAAATTCAATGTTAATTCATTAACTAACTAATTAACTAACCAAACTTTGAATTTCTTCATTAATGGGAGAAATTCAGATTAAGTTATTATTCCGTCTCATTCTCTTGTATCTCTCAGTCCATACCTCGCTGACTTTCAAAACCATTCATCTCTAAAGCCACTTATCGATCATTGCTTCTTCCACTAACTCTCTGACTCTTAATTTCTCTCTTCAGAAACCAACTCTTCCTTTTTTGCTATAAATATGTGCACTTCACGACACATAATATTCATCAACCCATATCTCTCCATCCTATCTTTCTTCCAATTGCTTTAGCGTATCTTTTCTTTTCTTTTCTCCTTTCAAAGAGTTAGAAGAAAGAGATGTTTTCGCAACGCCAATATTGTCTAACACTTTTGTTCATTTTAGTTATCTCTTTTGTCTCCTGCTGTTTTAGCAGTTATCAGGATGACCTATATTTTAGAAATGGCTATCAATCTCAAGGCGATAGTTATTATGGTCAAGTTCTCAGGAGGCATTCTGGAGCCAATGCTCCTGCTACTTCAGCACAGATTGTGAATGTTGACGATTTTGGAGCTAAAGCTGATGGAACAGATGATTCTCAGGTACTTTGGTTAATGTTCGTTTTTATGAGATTGATTTGTTACAAATTCGGATTTATTTGAGTCTGAAAACCAATTTGTTTTTGTTCAGGCATTTTTGAAAGCTTGGAAGAAGGCTTGTTCTTCTAATGTTGAAGCAGCTTTAGTGATCCCAAGGAACAGAATTTATCATCTTAAACCAGTTACATTCTCAGGTCCTTGTAAATCTGGTCTTACAATTAAGGTGAGTTCACGCATGCATGGCACATAAACATAAGCAAAAAAGTACATGCATATATTAATCAATTATCATAAATTTATGATATGACAGATTTATGGAACAATAAAAGCAACAGTTCATCAATCAGACTACAGAAAAGATCCCAGATATTGGATTGTTTTCGATAATGTTAATAACTTCATAGTGGAAGGTGGTGGCACCATCAATGGCAATGGCGAAATATGGTGGAGAAACTCATGCAAAGTCAACAGAAACCTTGTATGTTAATTACAATTTATATTGAATTAATTCTTCCATTTTCTTTATATATGCTAGCTCTGAGTTTCAATTATTAATTATTACTGATATTAATTATTATTTTTTCATTTTATATTGTTTCGATCTATCATACAGCCCTGCAAGGATGCACCAACGGTATAGCTCCTGTTCCTTTTCTAGACCTTACCTAATTAATAACATCCATTTGGGATGAAAATTTTTAATTTGTAACCTTATTTCAAAGTTTGTGTCGTTTTGTTCTTGCAGGCAGTAACTTTCTTTGGATGCAAGAATCTGAGAGTGGCTAACTTAAGGTTCAAAAATTCTCAGAAGATGCACCTCTCCTTTAAGAAATGTGTCAATGTCAAAGCTTTGAATCTCAAAGTGATTGCTCCAGGGAACAGTCCCAATACTGATGGCATTCACGTCACTGAAACACAAAATATTCAGATTAAAAACTGTGTCATCGGAACTGGTAATTAAACATTAATTTCATTTAATTTAATTAACCGAATTTCTTTTTTAATTTTCTCAATTTCATTTGCAATATTTAAGGTGACGACTGTATATCCATAGTCAGTGGGTCGAAAAATATTCGAGCGACGGGTATAGTTTGCGGTCCAGGTCATGGAATCAGGTACTTCATTAAACTCTAACCAAACTTTTAACTGCTAATTTCAACTAAATCATTTCTAATAAATTTGAGGCTGTAAAAATATTATTTATATTGCAGCATTGGAAGTTTAGGAGCTGGAAATTCTGAAGCTGAAGTTTCAAATGTGGTAGTCGATGGAGCAAAACTTACAGGAACCACTAATGGTGTCAGAATTAAGACTTGGCAGGTGTGATTAATTTTCAGCGGGAGCAAGAAATTTATCTACCAAACTAATCTGATTTTCATACTTGCTTTACCCAAAGTCTCAACAATTACAGCCTCAAATTCAGCTTGGTTCTGGATTTTAAGTCCCAGATTAAGTTAGGTTGGAGTCACATCCACATAGTCAAATATGGAAACTGAAAATAAAGTTACAGTTACCGCTTTATATATTACATTAATCCATGAAATTAGCCGTGAATGAAGCTCAAATAACTAAGTAATTAACGACTCTAACTGCTTACTTTAACCAACTGCTGACTTACGATTGAGAGTTATTATATATTCTAATCTATGATGTAACAGGGAGGATCTGGATATGCCAAGAACATAGTTTTTCAAAATATTGCAATGAGCAATGTGACCAATCCGATAATAATTGATCAACATTACTGTGATCAAGAAGATCCCTGCACAGATCAGGTAATTTTAATTATTTTTTCTATCCAAGGCCGATAATATTTATTAATTAGTGTTATATAATATTAATCAAATTACAGGCATCGGCTGTGCAAATAAGCAATGTTTTGTACAAGAACATCAAAGGGACTAGTGCTTCAGAGGTGGCCATCAAATTTGATTGCAGCAAGAGCTCAGCTTGTCAAGGGATTTTAATGCAAGATGTTGTTTTTGGAAGTCAATATAAAGGTGAAGCCGCCAAAGCTTTGTGTCTCAATGTTAACTTAAAGAAGAGAGGGAGTTTTCGGCCCCTTTGTTCTTGAGGGAAAGCCTAAATTAATTAGCTTGTAATACATAATTAGTTTAATAATAAAAGTCTTTGATTAATGACTATATGTTGTACATACCAAGTGAATAAATCATAAATTATTCTACTCTTTGTACTGTTTATTTAATTGGTCAAATTAATTGATTTTCCCTTTTTATCTTATATTATATATGCCTTAGAAATGAAACAAATAATTCATAAATATTTCAAAGATTGTATCTAATAAAGAACCTTCATTAATCCAACTGAATATTAAATATTAATACGAGACTAATTTATTCAATATTGTCCATCTACCCCATATGCTATTTCTATCACATCAACAATTTCAATGGATTAAGAAATTGCCTTGGATAAGCCCCAACTTAATTTTACCAAACAAACATTTAAGTTATATTATATATATTTCATATTCCAACTCTCTAATATGTTGGAGCTGGCGACCACTTCAATAATAAAGGTGGCAGCTCGGGGTCGTAGTTAGTCTGCACGACGCACAAGAGGGTTGGGCTTAGGAATAAGAATCCGAATAGTATTAGGTTTTTCTTCATAAAATTAGTATATAAAGACATTATTCTTTTGTATGAATGAGATAAAAAATCATAATAAATATATTCATGGTAATAAAAAAGATAAGAAAATATTTCAATAAGATTAATTCTATTGGACATAACCGAGATTTGGGTGAATTATAATAAATCGAATGTATTTTTTTTCTCTTTACTAGTTCGATATTTATGTGTGATTATTTATTTCTTTGATTCCAAAAAGCTCTTTAGTACTTTCATAATAAACCAAAAGTCTTGATCATCATTCAGCTGATTAATTAGTCTTTGTAATTAATTAATAGTTCATGCATATAATAAACATTGATGAAAACGTGAAAATCTTATCCTTTAACGTAAAGGATAATAAAACAGTAGTCCAAATACGGAAAAGATAAGGACTTATATGTCAGAGAATTATTTAACGTAAAGGATAATAAAACAGTAGTCCAAATAGCGAAAAGATAAGGACTTCTATGTTAGAGAATTATAAATTCAATCTATTTTTATCAAGTTAATATATAGGCATGTAGAAACATAGTGGCTCTGGCTTCGATTGAACCTATTGAATTTTTTAAAAAATATTAATAGTTTATAGATTTTATAATTTTAACCTCGTTAACTTCATGTTGATCCCACAAAATAAATTATTAATTAATACTTTTTTTTTTCTTTTTTTCTCTCTTATTATATTTTTCCTTTGATTGGATACTCAAGAAATAATACTCCTTTAGATTACAAGGTAAGATGATACTGATTTTATTTTTATTTTTTACTTAAAATAAATTCTTTTCTTTTAGTTTTGTTTCTTAATTAATGAAAGATCATGAGTTAGGGGTTTTTGTTGAGTTTAATAAATAAGTTTGAAATAATTCTTAGATTTTGATGTAAGTTTTGATTTAATCTTATTTATGTTGAGATATGAGTTAATTAATTGCTGTTTTAAGTTGGGTTTAATAAATTGTGGTTAGTTATTGAGTTAATTTTGAATATGGTTTAAAGAATTGATGAAACCCTAAGTTGTAGAGATTTGAGGATTTGGTTCAATTTTGATATATTGGTTAATTGCCTGATATTTAGAGTTAGATTTGATGAGTTCTTATGAGTTTAATTTTATTGGGTTAGTAGAAATTGTTTGAAAAATCTAAGTTATGAGTTGAATTTTGATAAATTTGTGTTGTTTTTTAATTATAATTGCAAATAAATTATATTTCTGATAATAAAAATTCTTTTATTTTTTTAGTTATGGACAAGTTTTTTATCCAAAGAAAGTTTTCTAATGAGGAACCATCAATTGAACAAAACATAAGGCGTCACAATAGTGTTCACAATAAGCTTATAGAATTTAGTTGAAGACAAACATATGATAAACTTAGCTTGAGTAGTCTTCCTACAGATCATGNTGGTTGGATACTCAAGAAAGACTACTCCTTTGGATTACAAGGTAAGATGATACTGATTTTATTTTTATTTTTCTACTTAAAATAAATTCTTTTCTTTTAACTTTCTTAATTGATAAAAGATCAAGAGTTATGAGTTTTTGTTGAGTTTAATAAATGAGTTTGAAATAATTCTTAGATTTTGATGTGAGTTTTAATTTAATCTTGTTTATGTTGAGATATGAGTTAATTAATTGTTGTTTTAAGTTGGGTTTGATAAATTGTGGTTAGTTGTTGAGTTAATTTTAAATATAGTTTAAAGAATTGATGAAACCCTAAGTTGTAAAGCTTTAGGGATTTGGTTTAATTTTGATATATTGGTTAATTGTTTGATATTTAGAGTTAGATTTGATGAGTTTTTTATAGGTTTATGAGTTGAATTTTATTGGGTTAATAGAAATTGTTTGAAAAACCTAAGTTATGAGTTGAATTTTGATAAATTTGTATTGTTTTTTAATTATAATTGCAAATAAATTATATTTATGATAATAAAAATTCTTTTATTTTTTAAGTTATGGACAAGTTTTTTATCAAAAGAAAGTTTTCTAATGAGGAACCATCAATCGAATAAAATATAAGGCGTCACGATAGTGTTCACATTAATAAGACTATGAAATCTAGTTCAAGACAAACATATGTTAAACTCAACTTGAGTAGTCTTCCTGCAGATCATGGATTGGGGATTAAAATTTTAAAATATCATCCTAATAATAGAGACAAAGTGAGAAAGAAATACTTGCAAAAAGAACCTTACCAACCACACAATCATAATTTTGAAAAGCGAGCAATTGAGAATTTAATGCATCGTTTTAATCCCGTTTAATTTAGAAAATATGCAAATTGGTTGGAGTGTAGTGTAGAAAAGGAGGGTGTTTTTGTTTGTGTTGTTATCTTTTTAGACATAAAATTAGTACTGATATTACATGTTACAACTACAAGTATTGAAAGAACATTTTCTACGATGAAGATTATGAAAAATTGACTATATAATTGAATGAGAGATCAATTGTTAAATGATTGTCTTATTACATATATTAAGAGAGATATATTTGATGGAATTGTCAATGAAGCAATTATATAATGTTTTCATAAAAAAAAAAAAAAAAAAAAAAAAAAAAAAAAAAAAAACCTTCGAGAACAATTGTAGAATTGATAATTTAGTATATATAACTTTTAAAAAGTACATTTTTTATGTTTTTTTACTTCAGTATATATTTTATTGTAAATTTATCAACTTTAATGTTTTAAATCCACTAACTCAGAATCCTGGCTACATTCCCATGTGTATATATATATATGATCAACCAGCTTCCCATGATTACTAAATGGAAATTATGCACGTTGTTTGTGAAGAGATATATAAGAGATGATTTCACAAAGGCAATTATACTGTCGAACTTTTTTGTTCATCTTAATAATCTCTTTTGTCTCTTGCTGTTTTAGCAGCTATCAGGATGACCCATTTGTTAGAAATGGCCATCGAATTCATGGCGACAGTACTAAATAACTAAAAGTCTGAAAGAACTGACCAAATTTTCAGGAGGCTTGCTGAAGCAAATGTTCCTGCTATTTCACCTGGAGAGATAGTGGATATAGATGATTTTGGAGCTAAAGCTAATGGAACAGAATTAATTATTGTTCAGGCATTTTTGAAAGCTTGGAAGGAGGCTTGTTCTTCTAATAATGAAGCTCTTTTTGTCATCCCTAAGAACAAAACTTATCATTTTAAGCCAGTTAAATTCTCAGGTCCTTGCAAATCTGCAGGTCTTACNAACCTTAATTTGAGCAAAACATGTGTTGAATGAATTTTTGCATGTTTGTATGTGATGGTATGAGAGAATTATGGGCTGTTTTTTATGTTTATTGATGTATTAATTCTAACCATGAGAAGTAGTGTGTGGTTATGTGATGATTTGGTGAAGTTGTGGAAGATTTTGTGTTGAAATTTTTGAAGTATAGAGAATTGTGAAAATGGACAGGTTTGATGCTATAATTAGTGAGTTTTTGGCTCACAGTTTGGTTGAATTAAAGAGTTGTGGAAGGGTAGCCAACAAGGTAGTTGCATGTGCATATGAAGTGTTTGATAAAAATCCAAAAAGAAATTGCATGCATGAGTTGGCTAAACACTAATGAGGAAAGGATTAGAGAAAGGCAAGACTTGAAGTTTGAATGTATATTATTGATGTTTTAACCTGTTTTCACAGGGGAGAATGGTTAGGAAAGGTTAGGGAGTAAGTGGAAGTAAATAGGTATGGAAAAGCTTTAAAGTAGGCATGTTAATAAGGTTGCCCTGTCAAATCCGTGACCTTCTGAGTGATTTTTGGGCATCTTAGCTATCAAACTGGGTTGATTCATAAACATAAAAGTTGTAGCCCTTTCTCTAAGCTTTAAAAATGAGACCAAGATCATAGCAATCCAATGTATATAACTGGAGATATGCCTTCTTGAATATGACGTGTGCAGAATGACTATCTCAAGAGTGCTTCCACTTTATTAGTTTATTTGTAGTCTAATAATCTATAATTGATTCCAAGTATGAAAATGATGCTTAAAGGGTTGTGAATCATGTTTGAATGAGTGGTCTTTATGATTATTTAATGATTGTATGAACATATATATTTGATGAAATGATATGTTCATATATGGAAAGTGTATGTTTTTAAAGAATGAAAGTGTAGAATTTCCATAGCTTGGAAATTCATGTTGAAATGTGCATCATATTTCTTTCTATTCTCTTTCTATACTATACTATGATATAAGGTTTTTGCGATGGGGAGCCCGTGAGTGATAGAGATGCCCACATACACGCCGCCACGAGCGAGCGGCATCAGCAGCAAGATATAGTATTTGTACAGTCTGTGAGTAGTGTATGTGGATGAGGACTGTACCCAGTAGATTATACCTACGTGCACACTGCCACGAGCGAGCGGCCACATCAAAGAGATACAGTACTTGTATAGTCCGTGAGTAGTGCATGTAAATGGGGACTGTACCCACTCATATGGCTAGGGTTCCAAATCCATGCATCAACCTAGTCCGATCGACAAACTAGAAAGAAGAAATAAAAGAAAGAGAATCAAAAAAGAAAAGAAAGAGATTACAGCATAAGAGAAAGAGAAACA